ATGGCAACCATAATTTTCATTATGATGATCTTGATCATATTTAGCATATTATTCACGATAAGTTATGGTTGCAATAACAACCATAATTTTCATTATGATCTTGATCATATTTAGCATATCATTCATAATAAATGATGGTTGCCAATGCAACCATAATTTTGAATATGATGATCTTGATCATATTTAGCATATTATTCATGATAAATGATGGTTGCCATGGCAACCATAATTTACATTATGATGATCTTGATCATATTTGGCTTATTATTCATGATAATTGATGGTTGCCATAGCAACCATAATTTTCATTATGATGATCTTGATCATATTTAGCATATTATTCATGATAAATGATGGTTGCAATTGCAATCATGGTGAACATTATAATGATCTTAATCATATTTAGCATAATTTTCATGAAAAATGATGGTTACCAAGGCAACCATTTTTTTCATTATGATGATCTTGATCATATTTAGCATATTATTCATGATAAATGATGGTTGCAATGCCAACCATGATGATCATTATGATGATAATGATCAAAATTAACAAATCAATCATAATAAATTATGGTTGCAATTGCAACCATGATGATCATTATGATGATCTTGATCATATTTAGCATATTATTCATGATAAATTATGGTTGCCATGGCAACCATAATTTTCATTATGATGATCTTGATAATATTTGGCATATTATGCATGATAAATGATGGTTACCATGGCAACCATTATCATCATTTTGATGATAATGATCAAAATTAACATATCAGTCATTATAAATTGTCGTTGCAATTGCAACCATGATGATCATTATGATGATCTTGATCACACTTAGCATATTATTCATGATAAATGATGGTTGCTATGGCAACCATAATTTTCATTATGATGATCTTGATCATATTTAGCATATTATTCATGATAAATGATGGTTGCCATGGCAACCATAATTTTCATTATGAAGATCTTGATCACATTTAGCATATTAATCATGATAAATGATGGTTGCCAATGCAACCATAATTTTGATTATGATGATCTTGATCATATTTAGCATATTATTCATGATAAATGATGGTTGCCATGGCAACCATAATTTACATTTTGATGATCTTGATCATATTTGGCTTATCATTCATGATAATTGATGGTTGCCATAGCAACCAATTATTTTCATTATGATTATCTTGATCATATTTAGCATATTATTCATGATAAATGATGGTTGCAATTGCAATCATGGTGAACATTATGATGATCTTAATCATATTTAGCATAATTTTCATGATAAATGATGGTTAGCAAGGCAACCATTTTTTTAATTATGATGATCTTGATAATATTTAGCATATTATTCATGATAAATGATTGTTGCCATGCCAACCATGATGATCATTATGATGATAATGATCAAAATTAACAAATCAATCATAATAAATTATGGTTGCAATTGCAACCATGATGATCATTATGATGATCTTGATCATATTTAGCATATTATTCATGATAAATTATGGTTGCCATGGCAACCATGATGATCATAATGATCATAATGATCAAAATTAATATATCAATCATAATAAATAATGGTTGCAATTGCAACAATGATGATCATTATGATGATCTTGATCATATCTAGCATATTAATCATGATAAATGATGGTTACTATGGCAACCATAATTTTCATAATGATGATCTTCATCATATTTAGCATATTAATCCTTAGGTCAATCAGAACTGTGTAGTAATATTTAAATAAATTTCTCTGCAATAAAATACTTTTAAAATAGTTTCTCGTTTGTGTATTTCCTGTTTGTGTAATGAGTATTACTTAGTGTCCGACTGCATTGATTACGCGCGGTTATTGTGACACGTCGTGTTTACATCATGTACATATATATACCTAAGGTAGGCAACTAAATACCTAAATTATGCACGTAGCCCCGAAAAAATTGTTCAAAAACTTTTAAAATACACAATGGAATATGAAATAAACACGATAAAAGTAAGCTCCGATAATTTTACTAAACTACCGCCAACTTTTTTTCTCAAAAACGGCACTGAAAATAATGAAAAATCGGCAAAGTTTTTCATTATTTTGTTGAGTTTTTCGCTGTGACTATGCGTGGTACAGTTCACCTGATACCGGTTTTCTGTTTAAATGACGACGGCAAGATTTCATTGGCTTTTGAAATTTACATCAAACTGTGAAAAATCCAAATCAGGGGGGTGTTAAGACGTTTTTCTACATCTGGCCAGCCTGGTCAAAGAAAGCTATATAGTCATTTATGCCCGGTAGTACAGCTATTTTCGTTTCGTTGATGCGCAAAGGAAACAAACAGTCATGTAATTAATTAAAAAGTCTACAATTAAAAAACCCAAGAATTCGTAGCATCTTATATCTAAACTATGTAAATGTGGAGGAAATAGATGACCTCAGTAAGTATAAAAATGTGTTTTGATTCATGATTTTACGGATAAACAAATACTTTATATGGCGTAGTATTTTTTGAAAACATTAGTTTCCCAGTGGAAATGCAGCGAGTAGAAAACAAAAGCCCGGTTGTGGATCTTCACGGACTAATTTATATGTGGTAAGTAAAGTCATAAAATGATCTTTTGCGTTTGACTATTGTATATTCTAAAACCTTTCTTTTTTATGTTTAATTTCTGTTTTGTGCTTCTTGCTCGGCTTGCATATACTGTATATATAGTCGCCGCCATTATCGTTGTTTTTAAACATAAGTCATAATTTGTGCCACTGATAAACTTATACAATGTCGTAAAAAATGCACAACTCAATTAAAGTGAATGAAAACATAATTTTGGTCGTATAACTTTGGTCTAATAATTTCTTATCAGCTTATATTAACTTGTAAATACTGAGCGCTTTAAAATTTAATCGGAACTCACAATAATTGACCTATTAATAAAAGCAGTAGCTATAAGCTGGATGAGCAAGGCGAGGCAAGGACAAATGCCTCGCGGCTGTTCTATGGTCATTTTTGATGACAAAAACGTGAAAATATTCCTCATGATTTGCCGTTTAAGATATAAAACATTCAAAGGTAAGTGATTATTTATAGTCGTTGATAATAATCCCCCCCCCCCCGCGAAATGAATACAATTCATAAGAAAATATACTTTTTATAGCTAACCTAGCTTTTATGAACTTGCGATGATAACAAAGTCCCTGTTCGCTTTTCCATTTCTTTGTATAAGAAGACAAACAGGAAAGATCCGATATAGCTACCAGAGGTCCAATGTATAAGAGATCAAAACCATGAAATATAATGGTATATGAATGTTCGTCCAATTTTCCATAATGAAATAAGTTTTTTCCACTTTTAATACGTATACACGCGTACAGCCAGCCAAATTAAGCGTCTTCTTTGCAACTGAATCGTGGAAGCTACCTTGAAAAAGATCAGTTGAATGTTGACTCGTATGGGAAAAACAAGAAAACATTTTCATGCACCTGAATAGTATATTAAGACTATGTGCACACGGTAACGTTTTCGAGCGTTTTTGTACTAGCGTTTTCAAATGTGTCGTTTTGGCGTCTTGTTCACAGGATGGTTCACAAACGTTCCCAAGAACTAGTTACCAGTGCTCTGTTGCCAGATATGATGCGCGGTAATGGCCAGGATGCAGTTTTAGCGCGAAATATTTTCTACCTTTTCCTACATTAGTCCGTTCTTTCACAGACAACTAAAACTTGTGTACTGAAATCATTGACTGAAATGTAACAACAGTCGTTAGAAACAAGCGAAATAGTTGAAGTTGCTCCAAAAACTGCAATGGCCGAAACAGTTGATACTAATAAACGTAAACGAAGCTCCACAGAGAATTTCATATGGACTGACGCCGAAGTAGAATTGCTTCTTTCCATCGTACAGGAATACAAAACTCAAAAAACAAACGATGGGATATATTGGGACAGTTGTAAAAGCAAGTATACCGACTTAAATGAAATGTTTGTGGATAAGCTAGCGGTTGTAAACGGCATACCTAATGACGATTATCCACATAAACATACTGAGTTTCAAAACAACCCTACTCGACTGGCTCGCAAAATCAAACAACTCAGAAACAAGTTTGTTGCTGCTGTAAGAGCTGGTAAAAGAAGTGGTGGTGGAAGGCAGGTGTACAGATTTTATGAGGAATGTCAGAATGTATTTGGTGGAAATGCAGCCGCTACTGAAATACCTGGAGCCATTGAAACTGATCATAGTGGTGTTCATGCTGTTACGTCTGCCAAAGACAAGGAGAATGTAGAAGAGGATTTGGAAGAGGATGCAGGTGCAACCATTCCATTTGATGACCCTCTCCCTCCGAAACGCCGTCATCTTATTTCTGATTTACGAAAACAAAAGTTGAATAAGAAAATTTCCACTGATCAGCAGATGATAAACATTGCACAAAAAGAACTTGTGTTGCAGGAACTCATGGTGAACAAGATAGCTGAAAGTGACAGCCAACAGGCAAATGCACTAAAAGCACTGTCAGAGTCAATTACCATCATTGGTCAATCTATGTCAGAAGGTTTTAAGAATATTGCTACTGCAATTGGTGAAAAAAAATCAGGTAGTTCAAATGTTGAAGAATATTGGTGATAATAATACAAGTGTGATGGTCACAAGCAATTTAGAATTGTTATGCTGTTTTAAGTTACCAGTTGTAGTGTTCACCTTAATATGAATGGGAACATTTCATGTTTTGAACATAGTATATATTATATTGTAATATAAATAATTACATTTTTGTTGTATAAATATTTAAATATCATTTTCAATATTGGTTGAGTTATATTTACAAGTAATTATTTATCATTAAAATTATATTATTTGTTTACCATTTTGTACAACTGTTATTAATTAACAAATAAACATTTTTTCAAGTTTGCAACAAGTTTAAAGATTCTGGGTGATGCTTGGAGGGTAGGTTAACCACATAAAGTGAACCCTATATGTTTAAGGCAATCACTAGTTCATTCAAAATACATTTTGAATATTTCACGAATGTCCTTTGCATTATTTGGGCAAGGTTCTATTTGCTGCCGCCAGTTCATAGGTTGTTCATTAAATTGTTCAATGCTCTGAATTCTGGGCTGAGTGAATTCTCTATCATAACGTAGTGCTGCATCAATTGCAGCCTGATCTACCCCGTCATGATGTACTTCGCAGTAATTATGGAGGATAAAACATGCATAAATGAGATATGGAAGCAATTCCAAATCAACATCTAGTACACCTTTTAAACAGCCCCACCTGGCCTTCAATCTTCCATTTGCACACTCTATCACCATTGCCGATGACAGTCTGAACCCATAAAATTGTTCAGCCTCTGTTATGCCCCCTGCTTCATATTCCTTCATCAGGTAAGTATTGAGTGGGTAGGCTGGATCACCCAAAATGCAAATTGGAACAGGAGGTAAATTTTGAACAATCACTTTAGGGCAAGTTGGAATGGTTCCATCTTTAGGCATTTTACACACTGACGAATTGACAAACACTTGAGCATCATGGACACTCCCTGGCCATTTGACAACAACGTCAAGAAAGCAGTACTTGAAATCACATGTTCCTTGAACATTTAGACTGTAAGTACCTTGAAAGAAATGTTCATGGAAAATTATTACTTGAATTAATATCCTACACATTAACAAATCAAGGTAGTGCTTGGTTTACCATATTCTATCTATATTCAGTCTAGATTCAGTCTATTTTTAACCCAAACAATATATTTGTCATAAAGGTTGAGGCTTGTTCCTTAATTGATTTGCGACTGAATGAATTTAACATTCAATATGACACCTTTTCCTAAAATTTTCAGTGCCATTTGATATATAGGGACACCCCTCCATTCAGGGGTTTGGATATCCAATAAGAATGAGGGATATTTCATCCTTATTTTTCCCAGGGGTAGACTGTGATTTTCCCCCATAATTACAAAAATTTGATGTTTTTGTGATTATTCAAGGGGAAAAATATATTAAAGAGGTACTTATGATATCCTATAGGACAATGTTTCAAAAAATGCATCCAAAGGGATTCAAATTATTATTCTCCTAAGAGGGCTTTAAAATGATCCCCAATAGAGCAGGGGGGTACCTATATTAAACAGAGAAATAAAACAGGATACTCTGAAGTAGAAGACTGGTTACAATGTTGCACAGGTGTACCTTTCCGATTAATATATTCAGATGACTTTCCTCTTGGTTGCTTTATCCGTATGTGTGTTCCATCTACAGCTCCTATACATTGTGGAAAACCATGCTTATCATAAAATTGGCTGGCCAACTTGTGTATGCTTGCCACATCAGTTGGAATCTTTATGTACTCTTTTCCTAGATGCTTAACTATGGCAATGCAAACTGATCGAAGAATTTTTGATAAGGTGGTTTTTCCAATGCCAAAGGCATTTGCAACCTGAAAACGAAGTGAGATTAAATTAAAGATAAAGTGAAAATGTGTTGTAATCAGTAATCACAATGGGCTATTGCATTTAATATGTTTATCTCCAAGGGTTAGAAAATTTTGCCTTGGAAATTGATCTTCAAGAGTATAGCATTTTGAATGTACCTTTGGTACATTCCTATATCATCATGGTACCTTTCTATATCTTGACTCGTCTGCTAAATACAGTGTAGCTGCAACTTTCGTTTCTACGGGGATTGCTTTTCTCATCACAGTATCTTCTCCAGTTAATTGTGCCCTCAGCTTTTCCCAAAGCTGCATAAAATTCCTTTTAGTCATTCTAAAATTTTCTTTCCACTCCTGAATGCTTGCTTTGTTCTCCCAAATATTAGTCCACCAGATAGACGTCCTGCCTGGTCGGCGCCAAATTCTTGACCTTCTTGGGGGTCGTCGAAGCCTTTTTAAGCGTCTTTTTAGGCGTCTTTTCGAATTATTGAACTCCTGAATAGCAGCCAATTTAGTTTTATTTCTTGTTATCAATATCGTAGTTACAACCAAGGATATTAACTGAAGAACTAAGCTACTAGTCAACAGTGTAAATATCGCCACTCTTGCATTGGGCGCCATTTTGAATTTTAGCGTTTCAGCGTTTTTCATAGTGAAAACGCTTGTCTGAAAACGTTTCCAGCATTGAAGACGTATCCGGGATTAGATTTCGTTTTCGCCCTGTTTTCACCCATTTTTGTGTGTACGCGCCTTAAAAACGACACTTATTGAAACGCGTTACAGATGAAAACGCTCGAAAACGTTACCGTGTGCACATAATCTAAAACTTGTTCTTCATCGTTGACCCTGGGGTCAACGCCATCATGCATGTTTTTCACTAAAAAAAAACAAGACAGCTAAAATATTATCCCACTTTGTCGAAATTTACATGAAGAACCTTACTGACTTTGAAATAGCAACGTTAAAACAATCAAAACCCCAAAAAAATCAAATTGTTGAGTATATACATACTGTATAATTATAAACTTGCATCAAATGCATCGTGATATTTGCATCGTTCGAACTGGAATACTTTTTGACCATGAAGTAAATTTTAGAAACATGAAAAATAAACTTTATGCTATGCCTAAAAAAGACTGAAACAACTCCTGTTGAATATTCTTACCTTCTGATGATAAACGGAATCGGTCATCCATGTAATAACTTGAAAAAACCTTCAATTTACAAGAAAAAATCAGTTGAAATGCACTTCCAACGGAAACCTATAAAAAACAGCATGCTCGCGCCTCGCTATGGAATTTTGGACTGCGCATGCACGAGTGCAAGCATTGTTCTAAAATCGTCAGACATAAATAGAATCATCCACAAAGAGATAGCCTTTCAGCAATTAGAAAAAGAAATATTTTTATGATAAAGACATTTTGCTCAATGCACACATTGTATACATATATATTGTATATTATAGCTAGAAGTAAATTAATATAGCACCGTAGATAACGAGAGATTGTCAATGAGAATTTTGACTGCAGTGTTATATATCATGATATTATTCGTTTAAGGTAATTGATGTAACATGGCATACACAAAGTTAACAACAGAACAATTGTCTATCGTAAATTTCGCAACCACTGGACACAATATTTGCATATTTGGGAGAGCTGGTGTTGGAAAAAGTACGGTCGTACAGGAAATAAAGTATGAACTGGAAAAGAAAGGAAAGAAATGCCAAATCGTTTGTTCAAGTGGAATTGCATGTGAAGGGTACAACGGGTTGGCAAAAACTGTTCACTCACCTACAAACGGCGGAACTGCCACAAAGTGTGTTGCTGACGCGTTGTCTTGAGCAGAGAAACATCGTGGAACAGATAAAAAACGTGGACGTTTTAATTTGGGACGAAATCTCCATGTCAAGTCGACGCATATTGAATATAATCAATCTACTGCATCAGGAGACGTCAAGGAACCTTTCCTTTTGGAGGCCTTCAAATCATATTGGCAGGGGATTTTTGGCAACTCAAACCAATTAGGAGTTCATGGGACAACGGAGAGCCAGTTTACGAGTCAGAGCTATTTGGAGAAGTTTTCTCGCACGGATTCGAGCTGAAGAAAGTTTTAAGACAAGATCAATTTGAAATGAAGTTTAAAGAAGCGTTGGATATGATACGAAGTGGCATGTAGGACGACGAAACGGAAAGGTACTATTGCAACCTATCCAGAGAATTTCCGTCCGGTGACGACACTCCAATTCATATTTATTTCAAAAGGCTTCCTGTCGAAGTGCATAATGCTACAATTTTGGCTGCTCTTCCTGGCTCAAAATTAACCTTCCAAAGCCTAGATACCAGTAATGCGAAATCCCTTGACAAAAGCATCAATGAAGTTCTATTTCTGAAACCAAGTTGTCAAGTCATGCTCCTGTACAACATTAGTCAACGGTTACGAAATGGAACCCGTGGCGAGTTTGTTGGTATTGACCTTGATGGAGAAGAGCTGTTGATAAAATTTCCAAACGTGGGGTTGGTCGATATACAACGTAGAGTTTGGTATAAGTATGACGCAGCAGGAAAAGTTCTATGCAGCCGCACGCAGTTGACGAAGATGACGTCAGAGTCGTGGGATTCCGCAAGCATTTTTTGATGCCACCTCCACAATCCTTGACCGAGTTAGTAACAAACTCATCCGGAGAGCCAGTACCAACATTTCGCTGTTGTCGAAAGAAAGAAGTGAACGGGCTATGCTCTTTTGCTGCAGATGAAGATGACGAGAGTTACGTCGATAGCGAAGATGGTGTTTGCAGCAGTGCATCAAACGACAATTTGCAGTTCGAAGCAGTCGCTAGGCAATTCTTTGAGTCAGCTGAAGGTGTTTCCCTTAATCTTGAAGATGTCCTGTTATGTTTATCCGACTTTACCCACGAACTCTTTCACCCTCCACTTGAGTTTAGCGTAAAAGCGTTCATTGAGATGAGCAAAAAAGGCAGTGATCCATTTTCCGAATCCATCAATTCAGCCGTGCAGTATGCACTCGAAAACCTGGAAACATTCAACCTAATCGCATGTGTTCTTTGGTGCAGAATTGCTACAATATTCAACGATTACCTTACAGATAATTTGAAGGACATGCACATGACCAGCAAGAACTTTACGTTCGCCACAGGCAAGCTTCACGAACTTTTCATGACCAACGAGTACCGAGGTGACGTAATCAGTGCATTTAATGCTGAGAAATGGTCGGATGTTGACGCAGGTAAGAAAAGTCTTGTCGCCCAGTTACTATTTCATCTATACGGATTGTTTACGGCGGAAGTAGGGAAGCGTGTTCGAAAGCAAGAAGAGCAGGACGCGGTTTGTTTTAGAGTGGATGAAATGGAAGCAGAAGGAAAAGGGAAAATCAGATATATCGGCGGATGGGCGGTAAGAAAATCTCTCGAAAAGAGTCGGCGCTACGTGCAGGCAAGCAAGCAATGGATACCAGAGCAGTTTGTGATAAAGTTAGTAAAGAAATGAAAAAGATTTCCCTTCTGGAAAACAATTTAATTATGCAATTCTCGAGTGTTAGTAATATCGCAACAAATCCAGAAACCCTAAATGTCACCGAGTCCAGCCAATTTCGAGAGAGGGGATTATTACACATCAGTGAAAGTGCATATGATTTTTTCCTCTCCGTGGAACAACAAACGGTTGATAATATTAACCTCGGAAAGCTGACAACCCATCAAGCGAACATGGTTGATAATTCTATTGAGGTCTCTCGACAAACAAACGTTACAGAATCAATTTTCCAATTTGTTCTATTTGGATGAAGATGAATCTAAGGTGATAATCTTTTGCTCTACGAATTTTCAATTGAATTTTTTTTTCACGTAAGATATTATAGTGATATTATATTATGTATCTATGACATGTACGTTCCCTTTTTAAGGTTTGGTGACTGAGCTATTTGGAAATATCGAAAGATACATGAAAATGGGTGCTGGCCAATTCTTACGTGATTTCCGACGGGATTACCATTTAAAGAAATCCTTGGCACATCGCAAGGCAGTCCTACAAAGAAAGGAAATGGCCAACGAGAGGAAGATGAAAGTGCAGCTCGTGCATGTAGAGCAAGATAGAAGCCTCGGGAAGCGAATTTCCCATGCACGGCTTTTGGCGTTGGTAAACGAGTTAAAGCACAAAGGCCTGGTTCGCTTGTACACCAAGGGAGAGTTGCAACGTTTGTGTAGTGCGTACAATGTTCGTTATCTTGCTCGTTGGAATAAAGAAAAACTTGCGTCAGAATTAGCTTTGACAATATCTCATTCAGAAAATATGCTGAGTCACCAAGTCTTGACCCGTTACACGGTTGTTCAAGAACAGTTTGATCATGAGTCCAATGAACCTAATCGCATTCCACGATTAAGAATTTGCCGTGTGTGACTATATTTATACTAACTGAATAATTTAGACAATATAGACCTCATCTATGCCTTCCTTGTGGTGTGTGATTGGTATTAACCAGGTTTAGCAAGACGATGCAACGATATATATATATATATATATATATATATATATATATATATATATATATATATATATATATATATATATATATATATATATTAAAATTGTTACAGGTGTTCGTGATGACACTTGCTTCTTTTACCAAATATGTGTTCTTTGGGCAATTCAGAAAACGATGCATTTTTGCTTGTGCCCGTATTTTCCTTTCTACTCACAGTAGTTTGGCCAAAGATAATTGAATTCTGTGTCGCCTGTGTGAGGAGGTAAGTTGGATTTTCATTTTGACCATTCGCAGCTCGTAGCTGCGAAAAATGATTCTCAACCAGATCTTGATTCATGATTGCAGGTTTTATCACAGATCCTGGAAAGCGAGATAACTTCACTTCGACTATGGAGCGAAATCCAAGAACCATTGATTGTAGATCAAACCATAGTTTTTCAGAGAAAAAGATATTCTTTGCCTGCTTGGATTGATCGCTCCAATCATTAAAATAGTCGAACGCATCGTTCAAATGCTGGAGGCGGATGTCATTCACGTTGTATATGACATGCTTGTCGGAGAACAATTCGATCATAATGCTGGTATGCTTCAGTAGCTCAATGGATTCGTCCAGCCTATCTTTGTTCTCGTCATTTGTGATCAGAAGATGTTTCCTATAAGCCTAAAGTAAAATGAAATAGTATTTAAAATTTACGATGAAGTCATGATGATTAGACGCGTTTATCATTATCTGGCAATATAATTATATATATATACAGTAGGAGGCAAAAGTTTGAGTCCAGTCGTTGTAGAATTCCAGTATTAAATCCTGGCAGCGTATTGGAGTTAAGACATGCGTGCTAGTGTTTCAGTACTGTAAACTATATTAATTGCACACTGTTTTGGTCCTAATGATCTAAATTATAACAAAATAAAGTTCTCATTCCTTTACACTGCCCAAGATGGGTAGGAAAAAGGGCAAAGTGATGGTGCACAAGGACAAATAGTTCCATTAAGTATTGAAGGATTCTTTCCTCGTAAGATCGCAGAAGAAGTGAGAATTTAAAAAGGTGGTATGCAACTAACCTTGGAGAGGTTCGAAGAAACTAAATCCTACTCAAGCAAACTTTTAGCTGCTTTGG